GTCGCGTGGGTGTACTTCAAGTAGTGAGTAAAGGGCCCACAAACCATTTGTTTACAAATGGCTTTTATACCGTTTTCAAATGTTAGCACTGATGTTTTCAAGAAAAACTTTTCCAAAGAGTTACGTCTGTTTGTCTGTGGTTAGCCCATGCATTATCTGTCAAAAAACCCGGAAGCTTATGCATTGTGCGCCAGCCTTCACTGCAGGAGGAAGACGAAATAGACGCCTAAAATAATATTATTGCATCAGGCCAGGGAACGGTTGGACACAACACAGCAAAAAAAGTTGTTGAATATTACATCGAAACTGCTGCAACCAGGTCAATCCATCGGTTGTGTAATATCACATTGTACGATGTACATCGATTTTGCGAACAAAATTACGTCCATTGATGTAATATTGTATCTGCTTTTTGCTATTACATCATTATTTCATACATCAGCTTGAATTACGTTGATCGATATTACATATTTTTTTGCTGTGAAGATTCTCGGTGGAGCGAAAAAGTTGGTGTTCGAGAATCGACAGGTGGTTGAATTTAAGATGTCGATCAAATACATGAGTTTCAGTGCTAATGCAGATCCAGTAGTGTGAACCCAAGAACGTAATGTTGGTCGAAGCGATAAAGATGGATTGTTTGAAGGAAAAGATAAAAGAAAAGTTCCACATCGGCCAGCGAATACTAAAGGATGAAGCTAAAAAGAACAATGCCGAGCCCTCGGCCGAGCCACCAGATTCGAAGCGTAGACGCGTCATCCACGGGTTGTTGGTGATGAAGAATAACAAAATCTTGCTTATGAGCATCGATGAAATCTTCAACGAATATGGAATCAATCGTCATGTAATAAGGTAAACTTTATGCCATTTAATCATGACGTTCAAGCGTGACTCATATACTATATTTTTCTAGATATTTTTAATGCTTGTTTCAGATTCATTTTGAATGTGAAAATTGACAATTCGGGACCAACCCTGCAAACAGTTGAGAAGCTGTACAATCCGTTTTGATGAATGAGAATGGCTCGATCAATGTGGAATCGGTGAATATCAAGATCGAAGGCGACGATCCGATATCCGTACCACTGGGAGCGGCTTCCGTTGCCCCACCACCGCCAGGCATTTCAACGAAGCATACAATTTATACCGTTTCGTGGGTCAACCAAGATGAAGATTTAGCTGTACCTAACGACAAAACATTGTTGTCTTTTCTATCCATTTTAAATTTAATATGGAAGCCTAATAAAGCTGGGAGCTCGGCTGGGAGTAACTTGAAGATTTATTTCATTAAAGGCCCAAGCGCAATGACAGCGGAAGCGAAACGGCAGTTGCAGCGGCAGCGGAAAAGCCCGATCTGAGTAAGCCCTTCTTGTCGGATTGAAAACTAGTTAGAACCAAATCGACTTCGGTTAGGCATCTTGATGTCATTTGTGACAACTGTCAAACTTTTCGTTTCCGTTCCGCTTCCGCCCACTTTGCGTTTGAGCTCTCATCGCAACTAAATTATAAAACATTTTATTTTTTACTGGTATTAATCATTTTTACCCAACTTTAGGACCTCTCTCGGTTTAACTTCCTCCAAAATTGTTCCAGATGGTCACCAACCTTAGCATCTTAACGTAGGTGATCCACTGCTTTCCCGTCCATCTTGTTTCACTATGTCGATTTATTTTACATTTTTAGTGGAGTTTTTAGTGGAGATGAGAATACGTTCCAAATTGATTCGGTTCTAGGAACAAGCTCATCTGCACAATGTTGCAAACCATCTAGAAAATAATTTATTCCATTAGCAATCATCCTAACTATACAGTTCAAACACCTCTATCTCTATACAGTTCAAACAAACAGCCGTACGTCCGTAAAGAGCAACTCAGTGAAAGCCGAGGTGAAAGCGAAGCCAAACGCGCTGAAGATGAAATGAAATTCTGATACCTGTCCCCCTGTAGAAAATTCGACAAATTTGGAATGCCACCGCAACAGCAGCAACCACTGGTGGCGGAGAATAATTCACTGTTCTATTTGAAGGGATTGAGTCTTGGAAGAAAAAAACAACTGAATTGGCGTTGACGGCACCGTCGAAAAATTTACTCTTCCAGCAAATTTAGACAGTTCCTTATGGGAATTTTCGGTGGAGTGAAAGGATACTACAAAGTCCACCATGTTTCACGCACAGTCTGACGTTTGCTTACGGATTTTCTCATAGGAGTAAAGAGCTACAGAGTCGTCGTCAACGCCAATTGATCAACAAACGTAAAAATTAATGGCAGTGGTGCCAGAATTCAACAAAACATTAGCTTTTCATGCGACGGACGCGTGTTAGTGGGTGTTTGAAGTGTGTATTTTTTTGAAGATCGAAAGAAAAAATCGATTTTTTCGATCTTTTCGTGGACAAAGAATCGATTCGTAAAATCGAAAATTGGGATGAAAAAGATCGATCTTTCAACACGCTATTTCAAAACTACCCAAATTTGGGTAGAATTCACCCAGATCGGTCAAAACTGAACCTACCCAAAAATGAGTAAACTGTGTTGGGAGTGACAAGTTGACAAATGAACAACGTCGGATCGGATTCATGTCGATGTTCTTCATTTATCAACTTGTCACTTCAAACACAGTTTACCCGTTTTTTGGTAGGTTCAGTTTTGACCGATCTGGGTGGATTTTACTCAAAATTGGGTAGTTTTGAAATAGCGTGAAAGAAGAGTTATCCCAGGGGGAACGACACTCATTCAGATGAATTTTATTTTACCATGCTTGTCTGTAAAAATAATGTAAATGAAGAGATTTTTCGAATTTGTCGTCTTGACGAAAATAGAGTAAGGATAAAAAATATATGGGATTCCTAATGGGATTGCATTGGATACGAGGATGCTTTAAGTTGTCATGGGGATGCGTGCAACTGAAATGAAACAGTTTGAAAAAAAAAACATCGAAGGAGCCATTTTAGTCATTGATCAGTGAAAAATAATGTTTGGATGGTGACAGCTGGACTACAAAAGCCCTCTACTGATAGAATGTATCGATTCCACGCAAACGAAATTTGTGAAAGCCAGTAGAAGTGGCAGGAGCTGCAGGAATAGCAGCATCGCGGATTCGTGTAGCCGCTTCCGAGATCTTCTCAACCGATTTGCGATTCTCCATAGATTGACTTAAAAATTCTACCCTGAATTTAAACTCACAAAAGTGATTTGGAGTAAAAGTCTAAAATCTCTTAAAGCGCTTTCTAAAACTACCTTTAATATCATCTGAAATAACTTTTCTATCCCTGAGATCCATTTTAAAATCTAAAGTCTACTCAAAATTCCAACAAAGTTTAGGTTGGTCCAAGAATCTTAAAACTTATCAAAACCCCAAACTCTTTTTTTCTGAAAAATTGATTAAGTATTTTTTTCACCGATTTGTCATTGAAATTCCCGGCTTTTTCCCGATTTCCCGGTTCACTGATCATCCTGCTCATCCCGCTGCCCTAAAAAATATTCGATCGACTCTCCACAAAGGAGAGAGCGAGAAATATCATCGGATTCGTGCAATATTGCCACCACTCAAAATCTGGGAAATTACACATTCAACGTTTGAAAATTTGGGGTTCAGGACAATCGCCACCTTGCACGGCTCAACGCGTATCAAATTTTTTTAACATTTATTATGGAGATCGTTGAAAACTGACAGTACTTCGCGATCGACCCAAAAACAGCACGGCTTGCTTGATGATTTGCAGAAGGGATAATTTGGGAATAGAAAGATAGATAGATAGGATGGATTGAAATTTTGTGCACGTTGAAAATTTTAGGAGTGATTTGGGTCAAAAAGGGATAATCCTGAAGTGTCGTTCCCCCTGAGTTATCCTGACCAACCATTTCGTTAATTTTCACAACTGTTGTAAAATCAAAATATAGATACACAACTGCTGATTTTATTTGTGATTTTTTATCTGCATAATTTCTAGTTTCGATCCCATGCCATCTGGGGTGTACTGATTTCGTTGTTGGTTGCTAATACTCGGGTCCACGGCTGCTGTTGATGAGCTTATCAACGACAGGCAAACATGTGGTGTATTGAAATTTCTGTAAATCTTTTCATACATGAATTCAATATTTATTTGTCATAACCATCAACCAGCCAGCCATGTAGGTGTAATAGAGGTAAAAAAGGTGTAAATTTTCCTCATTGGGTTCCAAATGCTGAGAATCCCACTACGCATGCTATCACGGGTTATTAAATATATAGACGTAAACTTGAAGAACGACAATGGTAAACATTTGCTGCATCGCGGCCATCGGTCTTCTCGTTCATTTACCGGCAGATTGCTTCTTCCGATGAAATGCCGAATATGTCGATAAATAATATAAACATTGCCACATGTCACCTGGTGTGTCTCGAACTCTCTTTAACCAGCGATGCAAATCGATAACAAGGAGATTATAAATGTGCATCGATGGCAATATTTGTTGTTCTTTGTCAAAGTTCAAAGTTACGATGATATCAGTATTTAAATATTTATTGATGAATATTTGTAAAGAATACTAAAGTCCATGTGACATATCGAAATTTAAAGAAATTTAGTATGGTACGTTCATAGATTACTATCATATGACCGATGAAGAAATAATCTTAAATGTAAGTATCGATCAATAAAGATTTTTAAATGTGTACAGAAAATTTAAAGTAAATAATTGCTGACATAAATCTTTATTTCTGTATAAAGAACTTTGAAGAAGTTTCACGAATGGTTGGTCGGGATTAACAAACCTGGAAATTGACGAAGAGAATCGATCATCGAGTTTACGCCCTTATGCATGCTCACTGTCGATATAATAATTTTGCGGTGGCACGAATTAAAATTATAATTCATTGGATGTTTTCTTCAGTGCATTTTTTTTGCACTTTCTGTATAACATCTCACATCTCCAATTCTTTTGCAAATCATTTCATCGACTTTTCCGTCAAATTACTTTTTCGTCGACAAAATCTGTCAAACTCGTGAAACAGCAGAAATTCAACATCAGAAAGCGTTCGGCATTCCAGAAATCAGCATCCAAAACATAGTAATATTTTTCATTGAATTTCATTTGGCAATTCGCGTTTGCTGCTGTTTATAACAAACAATATGACTACCGACATTGCCCGCAATCCGGAAGCACCCGGTTTCAGCTTCGAGAACTGCCGCAGGTAAGGATTTACGGCTGTTGATTGTGTCGAGTCACCGACGAATCACCCCTAACCTCTTGATGCCCGTAGGAATGCCCAACTGGTGAAGCAGGGATTCGTCGCACCGAAGATGATCAAAACGGGAACGACCATCGTCGGAATCATCTACAAGGATGGTGTGATTCTGGGTGCTGATACCAGGGCCACTGAGGGACCGATCGTGGCGGATAAGAACTGCGAGAAGATACATTATCTGGCGAAGAACATGTACTGCTGCGGTGCCGGAACTGCTGCCGATACGGAGATGACCACGCAGATGATTTCCTCCAATTTGGAGCTGCATCGCATGAACACTGGGAGGACGGTTCCAGTTGTGGTGGCGAATACAATGCTGAAGCAGTTTTTGTTCCGCTACCAGGGGTACATTAGTGCCGCTTTGGTTCTGGGAGGTGTGGACAGTACCGGATCATACATCTACTGTATCTATCCGCACGGATCGACGGATAAGCTGCCGTACGCGACGATGGGATCGGGAAGCTTGGCAGCGATGTCGGTGTTCGAATCGCGCTGGAAGCCGGACATGGAGGAAGAGGAAGGCAAGAAGCTGGTCCGGGATGCGATTGCTGCCGGCGTTTTCAACGATTTGGGTTCCGGTTCGAACATTGATCTGTGTGTGATCAAGAAGGATGGAGCGCAATATCTGAGGACGTTTGAGGAAGCCAACAAGAAAGGAACTCGTACACTGAACTACGACTTCCTGCCGGGCACGACGGGAGTGCTGCAGAGCAAGAGCTTCAAGATTGACATTACGGAGACGTGCGTGCGTACGCTGATCCCGCAGGGAGGCGTGGAGAGTATGGATACGGCTTAAGTCGATGTGGATTCTTTTTCTTGGGTCTCCTAATCTGATTCATTGTATTGGTCTATCAATAAATAACTGCGTTTTGAATAAGTACGGAAAATAGATTTTAGATATACTTATTTATAAAGCAAGCAGAGAACGATTGATGAGGGAAAGCTAATCTAAATTCATAATGAGGGTGGGACAACTTGGCTATTATCTAGATCAAGGCATTTGTTGATACTCACCCATATTCTCGTTTTCTTTCGAACCGTTTTTCAAAACAAAAAAAAACTGAGAAAAACCGGTTGGAACGGAAACAGCGTTTATTCGCAAAATATCTCAGTGTTCAGTGTTGTTGATTTCATATAAACAGTTAAACTGTTTTAATTTACTATTATGCCGGAAAAGCATTGGTTTTCTTGGTTCAATAACTTTTCAAAACAATTCCATCTATTTGCGCATCTGTGTCCCATTGCATCACCCCTTGCTTGCTTGTTTATCCTGGAAGTGCGCCACATCAGCCCTCACCGTTTGACAGCTCGGTTGTCTCTTTTGACAGCCGAGCTGTCAAAATCGGTCGATTTCAGTTCAGCGGCCTCGTTTCTACTTCCTTTCTTTTCGAAGGTTTTGTGTACAGAATCAGACATGGCAAAGGTATCCGTCGCTTCGAAAAATATCATTTTCTGTTCTTAAAATCGTCTTTCAGTTAACTAATGGCGTATATTTTCCGTTTTAGTCACGCAAGGAACCCGTTAACGCTGTCCAGGTCTTCGGACGTAAGGTAATTATAGTGATTTTGCGAGGAAATAGTTGCCACATGTAGGATTCGCCTGAGCAGGGATATTCTGGAGGTCGTTGAATGAACGAGCGGAAGATACGGTTCATTGTGTTAGATTTGATGAAAATGCGGATGTTTGAGAGCGGATTTCAGCGAGGATTCATGAATCTGTAGTTTCCTTTAGAATAGATTGTTTGAAATTCGTAGTTCAGTGAATTAAGCGTCCCGAATTGACATTGTTTTTTGAGGTTAGACTCCAAAGAGTATAGTGGTAAACAAAATAGTGCAACCAAGGCTTCTCGCAATCCTACATCGTGAAACAATACACAACGTTTTATCTAATCCGGTTCTTTGCCTTTTAAGAAAACCGCTACCGCCGTAGCGTACTGCAAGCGCGGCCGTGGTCTGCTGCGAGTGAACGGTCGCCCACTGGAGCAGATCGAACCCAAGGTTCTGCAGTACAAACTGCAGGAGCCTCTGCTGCTGCTCGGAAAGGAGAAATTCGCCGGTGTCGACATTCGCATCCGGGTTTCCGGTGGTGGTCATGTCGCCCAGGTCTACGCCATCCGACAGGCCATCTCGAAGGCCCTGGTTTCCTTCTACCAGAAGTACGTCGATGAAGCTTCCCGCAAGGAGCTGAAGGACATCCTCACCCAGTACGACCGTACCTTGCTGGTTGCCGATCCGCGTCGGTGCGAACCGAAGAAATTCGGAGGTCCAGGTGCCCGTGCTCGCTACCAGAAGTCGTACCGTTAAGGCGCGGATTCGCTTTACGGCTCTGTTGGTCATTTGTGGTTCGAAGTTTTTTTTTGCTGCCTCACTGTCCGGCGGGGTTGAATATACATTCTAAGATTAATGCAGATAAGGAGGATCACTTTGGGAATATGTGAATTAAAACTGGATGGAGAAAAGAGAAAATGTTTGTTGTCAGTGACGGTACGGGAGATCCGAAACTCTGGTGCCTTTTGTCGATCGATAGAGCTTGGTAAGTAATTCTGAAAGATGATTCGTGGGACGATTCGTACAGCATATAAACAGTTAAGTATTTTGTTATTGCAAGTGATTAATTTAAGCAGCTTCCCCTTCTTTGTAAATTTTCACTGTCTTATTCTATCCATTGCTTATAACAAATCTGCCAGTAACGTTTACCGAACGTAGCCTATGGTTTTACCCCTTCCACTAACAAACTTCCAAATTTTTGTGGCACTTTTGAGAGGTCGTAGACTTATCTGCGTCTCTCTTAAGTGTTTAACAATCCTTCCCATCCCCACGGACGGAGGTGGCAATACTCTCGAAACAATGGTCTAGGACAGTGGTGCTTAGTTGAATTTTGCGTATTTCCCAAACATTTCGGCCGTACATTCGAAAGACAAAAACAAATTCAAGCTGAAGTTGTTGCATCATAGAGATCCAAGCACCACGTGTGGCCAGCGGTCTAGGACTTGTACCACATATTTGTGTATCTTGCTTAATGTGAATGCGAATGCAAGTGACTAATTTTGGCAGGTGACTTGGATTGAAAGCACTAACATTTCTGGATCATTTTAGAATTTTGATGAATTCGATAAAAGTTCCATGCAGAACTTCAATTACAAAAAGAAGTTTTTTTTTAGAAGCTAGAATAGATCACAAAGAAGGTTTTCTAATCTGCTAGGTAGCTGTTCATAAAGTATGTACATATGTAGATAATTTAGGGGTTGGGGAATGTCTAGGGTCCATATAAAAAAAATACTAGGTACTGAACCAAAACATCATACATCAGGTTCGTATGATTATTACCTCACCCAAGCCCAAATCCTATAATCAGATGATTGCCATTCGTAACATACACAGGTAAGTTAAAGCAATTCAAATGTAAATCATTATTATCTTGGATTTATTTTAGTTCAATTGATAAAAATTAAAGTGAATGATTATCAAACTATACTGCTGTGTTCGATAAAATAGCAGCGCATGCCGATTTTCATACAAAATGGTCAACTTAGACATGATCTAACTTTGTTAACTTATGATCAATTGAGCTGAAACGTTCGCCAAAAAACTACACATATATTTCTCAAAATTCTAACAATCCCCACTCAATTAGCAAATGTACACAATAGTTGAAAATGTTTAAAATATTTACAGTACGTTAATTTTTAAATAAAAAACTTCTAGTGAGAGCACTTTCCGGCAGGTGCTTCCAAAATTTAATATTTTGTAATCGTAAAATTGAACATATTTGTAGTTCTTTGGCGAATGTTTCAGTTCAATTGATCATAAGTTAACAAAGCTACATCATGTCAAAGTTGACCATTTTGTAATTGTAATTGTAATTGTTCAGTGTATAGGCTGTGCCAACCGCTAAGTTGGCTTATCTAGGGACTAACCCCCTCGTCTATACACCTACTGTCCTTCCCGTTGCACTCGTCAGCTCGTGCGATACTCTAGGCACACATGAGTGGTCGTATCCGGGTCCTCCCCTGGGTAGGCTCGTGTCCGTCCAGGTTCTGGAACATTAACTTATATCTATGCATGGTAATTATACTTTGCAACTCACCTTTTGATTACAAATGTCGATAATGCTGAAACTATATGAATGTTAGTTAGTGATCATTATTAGGTGTGTGCTGCAATGGAGTAGTAATTGAAGGAAATGAGGTTCTCATGTTGTCGCCGCCAAAAGCTACTTTCTTCTCCGGTTAGGGAGAGTCTTTCGCTTCCAGGTCAGACACTGTTTCTCGATTCTAGGAGCTACTTTTTTCCCCGGTTAAGGAGAGAAGTTTTCACTTCTAGGCCGAAAGTTCTTTCGGATTCAAAAAAAGAGAAGAATCTGGAGTAACCTACGAAACTTAATTTTATTCTTTTTTTTTTTTTTTTTACTTAAAAAAAAATGATCTTTATTTCTTGTGTTTGTGTGGTTTACATTTATGAATTTTTTCAAGTGACACAGATGCGTCTTTTCAACTTTAGTTCATTTGAGATTTTAATTATTATTTACAGTTACTAGTCCTATCAGGCCTATTTTAAAGTATGACCACCTTGGTGGGATTGGTTTGATTTGAATTGGAAAAAGGAGACTACTTATAACTACTATTTACAACTACAACTAACCTACAACTACTATATGCACCTAACCTACTATATACAAGTTGCTTATCAAAGCATGTTCTGATAAATTACATTTTTCTGCAAATTTAGTCTTAATTTCGTTAATTCTTGAATCTATTTTGGCAATTCCTGCCTCTTCGTGTAAATTTGTTATTCTAGTGTCGAAAGGACGATCAAGAACCATCCTCAGCACTCTATTTTGTGCGACCTGAATTTTGTTCCTGTGAGTCTGTGCACATGATTCCCACACCGGAGCTGCGTAGAGGATCGCAGGTGCTATGATTTGTTTGTAGACGGCCAGTTTGTTTACCCTTGAGAGGCGAGATCTGCGGCAAATCAGCGGATACAGACACCTAACCAAGGCAGAACACTTGACTACTGTTTTCTCTACATGCGAACGGAAGAGGAGCTTTTCATCAAACAACATCCCGAGATAGGTTACTTCGGCGGACCACTCAACCCTTGTGCCATCCATGATTACAGTACAAGATGGAGCCGGTTTCAGTTTGGGCGATTGCCGATGGAGGAACATGATCGCTTGTGTTTTGGAGGCATTGATTTTGATTTTCCACATTTTGGCATAATCAGCAAAGGCGTTAAGGCATCGTTGAAGTTTGTTCGTTATTTCGCGAGGCATCCTTCCTTTGACGGCTATTGCGGTATCATCTGCGAACAGGAAAAACACGCAACCGTCACCGAGGGGAGGAATGTCGGAAGTGTAAATGCTGTAAAGCAAGGGGCCCAGCAGACTGCCTTGCGGGACTCCTGCTGGGATGGAAAACGTGTCTGAAAGACAACCATTCAACGATACCTTAAACGACCTTTGCTGAAGGTAGTTTCGGGTGATTTTAACCAGATGTAATGGGAAGTTGAAGTTACAAAGCTTGTACACAAGTCCGTCATGCCAAACATTGTCAAACGCCTTTTCAACGTCTAACAAGGCCATGGCTGTGGACTTGGATACAGCTTTGTTACTTCGGATGTTATTCATCACCCGTACTAGCTGATGATTGGTGGAGTGCCCCTTTCTGAACCCAAACTGTTCCGGAAAGAGAATGTTATTTTCCTCGACAAACTTGAGCAAACGATTGAGAATGAGTTTCTCGAACAATTTGTTCAGCGCTGAAAGGAGGCTGATTGGTCTGTAGCTTGAAGTCAATGTTGGATCCTTACCGGGCTTGCGGATTGGTATGATTTTTGCTACTTTCCAGATGTTTGGAAAGTAGTGCAGTTCCAAACATCTGTTGAAGATAGCGGTTAGAAGAGACTGCACTTTCATGCTGAGTCTCTTCAAGATCAAGTTGAATATGCCGTCAAACCCGGGGGCCTTCATGTTCTTGGTGCATTTCAGCGCTGAGCAAATTTGTTGTACTGTAATCATATCCACCGGAGGCACGACACAAGGGGAGGCATCTAGGTTTTGAACGCATTGCGCAACCTGATCTTCGAGCGGACTTTGGATAGACGAGCCAAGCAAATGCGATGAAGCGACATGCTCGCCGATCGCATTTGCTTTCTCCTGTGGGGTGATTAAAAGCCGATCGTCATCATTTTCGACTCTGAGAGGTGGAACGGGTTTGGGATGAGTTTTCAGCACCTTGGCTACCTTCCAGAATGGACGGGAGCGGTCATCCAGATTCTGGACAACACGCCCGAAACTTTCATTTCGGAGTGAGTCCATTCTGGAAGCAATCTGCCTGTTCAGATCGGCCATTTCACGTTTCCTCGCTAGATCTCCAGTCCTCTGAAACTGGCGTCTACGCACATTTCTCAAGCGAATCAGTAATTGGGTGTGGGAATCAATGGAAACAAACTTACCCCTCACAGGAACTTGTCGAACACACGTCTCGTCAGCCACGGATATGGCCTGGTGGAGCCCTTCCAGTGCCCGGTCGATGTCCTCTACGGTGTCAAGTGGCGGATTTTCATCGATGTTTCTGTCGACCACATGCCCAAACTGCACCCAGTTGACATGATGGTAGTCTTTGCGCAGGCTTTGAGCAGGTTCCACGTGGGTGCCGACTTCAGCCACCACCGGTTGATGGTCGGAACTGAGATCGTTGATCGCCATCGGTTTGGATAGTCCAATGTTCGATAGAAAAAAGTCCAACGTGGAAGGGTTTCCCGCCGGAGAGATGAATGTCGGTTCATCAGGGAATTTCACTGTATACAGCCCATGCTGCGAGTGGTCGAAGAGCAGACGTCCGTTCTGATTCCGCTGATAGTTCCGCCATGCTTCGTGGCGATGACGAATCGTGAGCTCGTGCGAGTGATGGTGGTCAGATCATGCTTGAATTGGATGCCTAATCCATTACTGGCAGCACACTGACGAGGGCAGTATACGGCGACGAACCGGACGTTTCCGGTTGGTGATTCCACCTCGACACTAAGGGCCTCGATGATAGAAGTGCGAATATGCGGCAGCGTGCAGAACTTGATTCCTTTCTTGATGATGATCGCAACACCACCCCCCCTGGAGTCAATACGATCAAGCCGGATAATGTGGTGATCAGGCAACCAAAAGCTGTCACCGGATTTAAGATGGGTCTCTGTTAGGAGGCCCACGTCGATACTATGCTTGCGGAGGAAGTCAGCAAGCTCGAGTCTTTTTGCTCTTACAGAGCATGCGTTCCATGTGACGACAGTTATCGGTTTAGACACCATACTGAATAATAAACTTACCGAGCACTTGGATCTGTTCGGGCTTGCTGCGGCACTGGCGAAGAGCGCTGGTCATGTCGACGAAAATCTTCATCAGCTCATCCGCAGAGAAGAGATCGGGATTGGCGTTTTGTGCTGGTGGTTGTCTCCAGAATCCAGGGGGGGAT